CGGTGATAATTAATTTTCAAGCAATTCAGATTATTTGCTGCAACAACAAAAGCTAGGAAGAAAAAATTAAAATTACGAAGAGGATTATACGGGGAAACTATTAATAATGGAAGCAACAAAGTAACTCTTAATTTTGCCGGTTTACGGGTTAATGTTTTAAGTACCCGAAGTACCTGAAGATCCGACTCATTTGCATTTATATGAACTTCAACGGCTTCTTTCATTAGATGTGGACTTCCCTTGACAAACTGCACGAAACTGACTCCACCTGCTTATAAAACATTTTAACAAAAAGCTCCTAAGCTTTTAAAAGGCGTATTTTCCTGAAAACATATCCTTTATGGGGTGTTTTTATGGTTTAAAGTACACTGTTTAAGAGAGAAGCAAGGAAGCAACTTAATTAATTAAAAGAAACCGTCATCTTCTTAAGGCTCGAAAGAAAAGCAGATCTTTTCATGTAGTCAACAAGTACCTTCAAATTGGGGATGAAATGGGTTTAATAAAAGACTTTTAAGCTTTCGAAGTATAGGTTCTGAACAGAAAAGCAACAGAGTTACTTTAATCAATCAGAACAATCAATGTACAATAGAATTAAATAAATAATAAATTTACCTTAATCAAAATTATCTTCCAAACTTGTAAGATTGAAAGTAAAAGTAAAGTTGTCTTAACAACTTACAATAAATTAGAAATGAAATTTGTTTCATAAAAGCCTTCTAAGCTTCTATAGTGTACATTTCAAAAAATCCATCAAACCAATCAATTAACAATAAGATTAAACAAATCATAAAATTACCTTAATTAGTTAAAAGTAACTTCCCAGTTTTTGAAATTTAAAGAACAGCTTCCGAAAAGAAGGGAATGTAAAAACTTTATTAATTAAAAAGTAACTTGCCAGTTTACACAGTCCAAAGTAAAAATAAATTACTTTACACAACTATTACACTTAACAACGTACAATAATCCGGTGATAAAATTTCGATTTAATTGAATAATTTGTCCCGCTGCGCGCAGCCGACACGCGAATATTTTCGTACAAACGTTTCTATTGAACAGCGTTCTCCCAGTCAGATTTACGGTTTTCCATGTTTTTGCAGCCGTTACGGGATTCTCGCCCCCATGTAGTTGAAATATACGTTGATCGCCGCTGGCGAATACAAATCCGCCATTTGTTTCCAGCACGCCACGCCGCTCGCCTTCTTATTGCGGAACTTTCGGCGAACGGGTTGCGACCATGTAACGGGTATCGAGTTTACGTGGGACGCCGGTCATCGGGTCTTCCCCCTGGAAACCGTAAATCCCGCGAAATAAAGATTATCTGTCTCGAGGAATCGTACATGATCGTCTGGTTAACGTTCCTGGTCCTTCGCGCGGCGATTCTCCTTTGCAACGCTTTTCCTGCTAAGAATACGCAGAAAATATGACGATCTGTTATTTACGCTGTTTCAGTTGTTCACAGGTCAAAATGATCAACACAATCGCACAAATTTTTGCTAAAACTTTCTCATACAACGAGCTATTTTAACACTAGGACCACTGAGCATTTAATACTATTCATATGTAATTGCTATAAAAATTATAACAATAGATTATCTTCAGTTTCTTTAGACATGCATTATAGTATTCAAGTGAAATTATATATTTCGAATATTCAATGATTTTAAGATATCAATAATTGCGAAAGAAAACAACTGAAACCAGTCATTTTGAATGTTAATGATATAAAAGTATTTCAATATATGTGTATTAAAATTGCGATAATTATTTTTGTGATTAATATACTTTATTGAATTGTCCATGAGTTGTACACACGTAGTATTAATATTGTTTTATCTATGTACCGTTGTCGTATATAATCCTGTTATTTAAGAATTGATTGATTGACAACGAAGACAGTTGATTGACAATGAAGCGCACACTTGTCGCGAGAATTCTCGTTTCCCAATGCGAATGTGTTCATATTAGATTTATAAACATTTTCTTTGTTATCTATGTGTTCCTTTTGTTATATAATGAACTCATTTCGTTTTAATAAAACAAGTTTTACCCTGATATAGTCTAAGTTACGATGTTTCATTAATCAGAAACGGTAAAGCGGAAATCACGAAATAATTCGTAAGTGTTTTGTGTTTATTTACTTTTCTTTTCTAGCACGCGGAGTTCATAAATATTTAAAAATGTTCAAGGGATAATGTATACCGAAATGGATTTTACGCAAGGGAAATCTATGGAAATGAATTCTACCGGATTTCCGCAGAAGTGAAATTCACGCATTAGAAGTTCATGGAAATGAGACGCCTATGAGTTTGGGATCCCCAAAAGTAAATTATTTGTGCTAAATCTATGGAAACCAGTTCTGCGAATCGTAGATCCGCAAAGATGAAACGTCGAAGTTAAAGTGTTTAATCAAATCACGAAAAAGAATTTATCTAGAATTTATCCGAATCTAAGAATAACAGAAAATTTATAAATAACTAACGTTACGAAAACTTATACTCGTGCGTTAGAAATTAATTCCGACAAAATTCCAAATTTGAATTTAGCGACGAATAGCATTAAATTTCGTTTAGAATTGTATTCATACATTTCCAAGAATTATCGGAAACGAATTCTACGCGTCGGAGTTTAAACTATTAAACTTCGTTGAACGGATATTTTAATTTCGCAGTGATAAAAACGATTTAATAAAAATGACAAAATGACAAAAACTACCAGAAATGCCAAAATAATAAAATATGTAAAAAAAGTGATAAATTCAAAATAATAATACATTGATCATCTAAAAAAATGTCCATACTTGTAATCCGTAGTGTAAACAAATTCAATAATTTCGGAATATCGTCGAAAATGAATTTTACGCGTCGGAATTCGTGTAATTAAAGTTCACTGATCGTGAATGGAAATTTTAATCAGGATCCTGTTCGAAACACGTGTCGATGATTTCGCCTGATTTACATCGTTGTTTATTTCTTGTAATGTCTGTGTCGGGACGCGTTGTCCCCCAATTAACACCGCCGTCACATATCGATCATGCCGTGCATGCGCGGCATTTCGGGGAAACCTGCTGCATACCAATGCAACCGGCAGAACTTACGAAGCAACCGAAAACTTGGCATGGCCGCGACGAATCGAACATCGCTTTTTGCCAGCCTAGCCCTTTTTTGGTCCCGGAGATTAGGGTAAACGTGACGTGGACTACTTTACTTTCGGGACATTGAATTATTCGCTTTTGGTAACCGCTACTCGAATGGTTGCAGTATATTTAACCTTTTCTGGACCGAGTTTTTACTTTCTCCTTTTGGAACAGAAAAAGATGATCTTATTTTGCGCTCGAATGGAATTTATATTGTTGGTACTGTTGTGAATTTAACAGTATTAAGGTGGATGAAATTTTTATGAAAAATATTTAACGTTTTCAACATCTTACGAGAAATATATGAGCAGAAAATAAGTTTTAATGGTGGAATGAAATAAACTGTATATGTGCTGAGTATTTTTGAAGAAGTATGAGAGTGTCTATGATATAATTGTAAAATGTCAAGTATCTGTAATATATGCAATAATCATTAAAATGTAAATTATTATTGAAATTACTGAAATTATACACTATTGTTATGAACACATTTATTATTTCAATGTCATAAATAATTATTTGCAAAGAGAATTTTCATGTTCTCTTAAAGATATTGTAGATAATTTATTTTTTATTTTAGTGTTATTGGTTAAATAAGTAAAGTTATCAAGTTTTTGTTATCTCCATTTATTTTCTATTTTCAAGCGAAGAATTCATTAGCCTCGGGAAAAACTGCTGAAAATATTATGCTAAAGCGTAACACACTTTGAATTTCGCATGAGATAAAGTGGATCACCGGGTACATTATCACTAGACTGCGGAACTTTATGCAAATCCACGTTTTTACAGGTGAACTCGTAGAAACTGAAGTTAATTGAAATTCCATTTTTTTTGTGAATAGTTTTGGTGAATTAAAAATAGGATGAAACAGTATTTAAATCCACTTAATTTTTCATTTCTCAGTCTAATTATCGTTCAAATTTCATTTTCTATGAATTACCTACTATTTTATGCATTATAATACCGTTGCATTGTTTCATTTATTACTGTACTAATAATAATAGCAATTACCATAATAATATTAATAATACTAACAAGAATAATAACAATAAAGACAATTACACCTTCAATGCATACATTAAATTGAACAACAACATAAAAGTAACAAACACAAGAGAAATACAATTACAACTATAGAGTAAACGTAAACACGGAATAAGCATAAAATTCTTTTCTTTCTTCAATTATAACAATAAGTAATTTCACTTAAATACTATACCAAATATATAAAGAAACCGAAAAAAGTCTATTACAATTTCTATAAGGATGATATGTTAACTTTTTACACTCCAAAAGTTTTTCACTAAAAATACGCAATATCATTTGACGAGATATAAACAGCATTCTTTGAAATTGACTGACGAAGAAATTACATATAAATTAAGGAACAAAAGTGTTCGATTTCAATATCTCACATACCAACACATACATTATGCAAACCTTAATATTATGTATTGACACATTGACTGCCACGAGAAACATCAGTGTTTTATGTATCACTTATCCTTTCTACAGCAAAGATACAAAGCAAGAATTATTAATTCTTTGATATGAAAATTCTTATATTACCCTATTATCTAGTAATTTGCGTTATGGAAAATTAGTATTGTAAATCAATTATCTTCTAAGTCATAATTATTTTCTTGTCATTTGAAGGTTTCGGTCATCGGTATCCGCCGTGGCAGTCAAAGTGTTAAATTTGATAATTTTGATCTATCAAATCGTACGGCGCCTCTGGAGTGCAAAGGGTTAATCGTATTAAATGCTCGATACTCGTAATATTGAGCACAGATGCGAAAGAAATCATAGGGCAAGCGGTTGAATTATCTATTACCATTCTAACGAAACTTCCTTTTTCTCTTTTCAGCTGAAAAACCAGAAACAACAGCCGGATCGCAGGATGTTCCCCGAACGCGATCGATCGATCCACGAAAGGTCGCCGGGTTCAAGACCGGGTTAAATAGGAATCACCGGAACGATCTGGACCGATAACCCACCCCTTATTAATCACTAGGTGGAGAGGGTCGGAATAGGGGATCAGTGAAATGCACGGTCTGCCGTGAAAATGCTGATCGACGATCGCGGCAGCGGCATGGGGTGGACCTCGGCCAGCGTCCGCGGGGGTTGGTCCACCCCGGGCGGATGCAGAAATTCCGCGATGAGCTTCGGGGGCAGCGTGCCCTCGCTGCACCCGGCCGGTTCGATAAGATCGCTACGATCCCAGCATTCTATGCAGGTAATAAAAACCGTCGGCCGGTCTGATTTCACTCGGAAATTCAGCCGATCCTCCATCCCCTGCACTATACTTCCGGTACACGCGAGGGAGTCTGAGTATGGAGTTGCTGCGAAAGTTCCGAGGAAGAATGAGAAAAGTCACGAATAAGTTTGAACTAATGGTTCTATCGTTTTCCAAAATATTCTCCTTCAATACTGACGTATTTTCCGTTGTGCAGCGTCGACACTTCCTAACCTCAAAACTGTAAAGCTTTACGAAAGAAAGAAATTCTTGAAACTTTTGCAGCACCCTACGTATTAGCGGCGAAAAATGGTAGGTCTTTTTTGGGGCTATGAGATGTTGAGGTTGGACTTTGTTGTTGTGGAATATTTATGTACAGGGTGTTCAACTTTTTTGCAATGCGAATATGGTTATGGTTCATTACAAAATTGTAACGAAATATAGAAGTTTTGGGCTGTGCTTTTTGAGAGGAAATGATGTTTTTTAAGTGGACGAACATTGATTTCGAGAGTTTGATTTTTACTGCAACGAGTGGTATAAATATAGCGTCACATGCGCTTTGTTACAAAGTTATACAAAAATATTAAATTCAGTTGACTGGTTTCTGGGTTGGATCTGAGTTAGGTAAGATATTACCTTTACGGTTGTTGGTTTTTGTAAATAAATTATTTTTCGTGTTACTGTTATTCATGAACGTCACAAATAAAATATTACAATCGTTTACTGTAGTACTGACAGTACATTTTTCCCCTAATTATCTTAATTTTTCTTTAATTATTCGCTAAAGCATTTTACTGTTTCAAATTGCGCAGCGCACGGTGAGAGATAAAAGGCGAAATAAAAAAAAAGTTATTTTCGTGGAACAGTGGAACCAGAAGAACGCAGGGACGAATGCAAATGAACAGCGCGTTGTGCAATAAGATTCGTAACTAGCCCGGCGACGTATTAACGGTACCAAATATGCATTGTACACGGTAATGAACGTCGCGCAAAATGGCCGATGGAGACACTAATTTTCCAGGATGGTTGATTACGAGCCCATAGAATGAGCTCTTACCGGATACCGCGTACGGCAATTCGAACATGGCTCAACCGCCATTGTACATAGTATACGTGCAGCATTTCCGAACGGCAGCGGCGAACACAACGTGAGGGGAGTTGACAAAATCTCGTGACGAACGTTAATCAATTGCAAATCGAACGCTCGAAAATAGAAAATAGTAGGTCCGTTCGAATGCAATTTGCATTTTCCTTTGAAACATTTACTGTTTTAATTCGATCTGTTGAATGTGTTAAAATTATTACACTTAATTACGAACTAATTGACGAAAATTATCCATTCAGATGGTAATTGTAATAAGTTAACATCAAATTGCATAGTAATTAGCGGGAATTATTCTTGAACGCATTAGGTACTTCTACTTCAACTTTTTAATTCTTTATTGCCAAGGTACAGAATTTATACAATTAAACTCTGACGCCTACTGAAAGTAGAAATTTAATTACTATGCGCGACACATTAAAAAAATTCACTGATTCATAATCCTTCGACACTGAATGTTATTTTTTAAATATTTGATTATTTCTATAATTTCGAACACTTCGAAATTTGACGAATTTTATTTGAAGCCTGATTCAACCCGTAATAGAATATATGCAACTTTTTCTTCGTTTCCATTGTTTTAAATTACCGTGAAAATTACTGAATCAGTATAAAATAAAAAATGCAATGTTAGTACAAATTATGAAATTACTATAAAATAAATAACAAAAGGTTAGTAAAAATTATAAAATTTCTAGAAAATCGTTGATTGAAATGCATTAAATCCTCCTGTATGAACATGACTCTACAGGAAAAAAAAGTTCTTAACATCTCGTGAATCAATACCAACAGACAAGGAACCGACATCATTAAGAATCAATTTTGGATCGTGAAATCGATGTTCGTTCACAGATTCCGTTCACCTCGATGGGAGGGCAAATCGTTAATCAGGCCCGTGAGAATTACTCCCAGCATTTCTCCTAATCGGTATTCCATTCGGGGCACTTTCACCCCCGTCGGTAAATCCAGCGACGTTTAATTTCCAGGGTACGTCGGTCCGCCATTTTACATTGGTTACGCATCGCGCCTCGATTTACCGTCACTTGTTTTTCCATTTCTTTTGTATTTATTCAATGACTTTCAAATGAAAAAGAATAGAAACAACTAACTACTTTTCTACTTCTCTATTTTTTCTTTATATTCTAGAAAATATGAAATATTGAAGATTAATACTAAACAAAGTGTAGATTAGTTACTATTTTGAAAAATATTCATTTTGAAATAAATTAAGAAAAGAAAAGATTAACTATCTTTTTATTGCATTTTCTTTTAATTCTGGGAGATATGAGATAATGAAAATTAATAGTAAAAGATAGCAAATGATTACTTTTGTTCAAATTACTTATTAAAATATTAATTTTAAAATAAATAATGGTACATCTGCTGCATCAGGTTGCGCTAAAAATTCATAGAGATATTAAAGTTTTCAATTAATTAGTTTGCATTAATTACTTTATTGTAAAATGGAATTTGAGATAGTGTACAGCGTACCCCTTTGTCTTGTTCACTGTAAAAATATTTTTCTCGAAGAGATAAGAATTTTAGTACGCATTTTTGTCGTAGTAGTTTAGCTCGTAATTTCCTCGAATTTTACAGCGAACGTTAAACTTGTTAGTCATCATCGTACCATGAAGCTTATATTCTAGCTCTAAACCAAGAATTTTGTCACTCATATGTGACACGTAATGTCAAGGGCTATGAATCCACGGTGCGGACCCTTCTCTAAACGTTTCCCCGGTAAAACTATTACACTGTCACCATAAAGTCTCGTTCCCTTTTTATTAAAACATTCTCGGACCCTGTTTCTTGCGATATGAACATACAACAATTTCACTTCGCTAAAAAATATTCCGGAACGCGCGAAGCATATTACAACATTGCTATTTCAAAAAAATGATAAATCCTTCAATGTCAAATTTTATCTGCTAAAAAAGGAGAAAAAAACTTATTAGATCGCTTGTTTTGGGAAAACTAACAATTCATTTAAATATTCATAGCCGTTTATATATATTTATAAATATTACTTTTTCTAAACTAAAATATATTCTCCTTCGTTATGTTTTAAATTAACGTAATCCAATTAAAAAGTATTGTAATTTAATATTATTTTTCGAATTAAGAAAATATTATTCTTTAATATTACTTGTCCAATTGAGAAACTATTACTTTCTAATATTATTTCTCGAATTAAGAAAATATTATTTTTCCTATGTTCCCATCGCAATAACTGAAAATCGTTTCGACCGGACATAGTACCATCCCCACGCATTGCAGGACCTTCTTTTCTTCAGGGCGTGCCGGAGACACCGCGAAGATGCATGCACTGCCACCCGGTACACGTGCCGAGCACCCCGAGCAATTACGTGCCCCACCCTATGCAGTACTACACGCCGAGCCACTGCCGCGAGCCCCGGAACACCGTCTACACCCCCCATCGGGGCAGCTCTTATCACGGCGGTGAGTTACGGTCATTTTTCAATTAGTATAAATCAACCCCCCGGAAAACGAGGGATCCACGGAACTCGGTAGAAAAGAAGAGAAATCACGCTACTTTTGACTGGTAGCACGGGGATCTTCCGGAAAAAATTGATCCCTCTTCGACCCCCCGTAAATCAGCTAATCGATTTACTAGAAATTATGAATCTGTCCGGTGCAATGTCTCCTCTCTGCTTTCCGTTAATGTAACGTTGAGCTTTTTTGTCTTGGCCTGGTGAGAAATAGCTTTAACCTTACTTCGTGAAATTGGAGAGCTTTGAGAAATTTATGGAGAAAAAGAAATCTTTGAATATTTCAATGTTCGAATCCTTGAATTTTGGAATGTTTGTATCTCCGAATCTTTAAATTTCTACAGTTCCAACCTTAACATAGATATTTCATAAAAACATAATTATCGAATTTGTCACGTACATGTTAAAATTAAATTTTGTTCTGGTTAAAATAGGTTCAGTGTTCTTCGTGATTCTTTGTTTCATAAAATGTGAAATTAATTGTGATAATAACGATAACGAAATTAATCACGGTGAACTGTAATATATATATTGACAAATATTTTTCTTAATAAACAAGAAAATCAGGGTGATTGTGAATTATATATTAGAAGGGTAATTCGTGGAAATAATTCGGCGTTTCCGTTGTTTTCCAGTGCGGAAAAATAATTTGCTCGCAACCCTAACGGGTGTATACGTGGGGCGGCGCCTGCGGCGCGCGGCGCCGTTTAATTTAACTTGTAGGACAACAGGGGTGTTTTGCATTTCATTCGATCCGTCGGACGACATCTTTCAGCCAGATTGCGCAACTTTTCTCGTAAAGCCGCGGCAACAATAACCCTGCCACCCTTTCGGTCTCCGTAGTAAACTTCCCCATAATCTCGGATACCCCTGTTTTCGTTCTCGCGGCGTTGTTCGCTAAGTGACTGGTCTAATCCGCTTCTGCCAAGTTCCGCTTCTCAGTTCAATATTCAAGAGGCTGCTAGTCGGAGAACAACAGCGTCGCACGGTGCGTCGAATTACGAATACACTGTCCCTTTGTTTTGGGTAAACGTTCGGCGACAATGCGTTGAATGTCCTGGCCTTACGTCACCGGATCGTTGTTATCTTTAACGCTTGATACCGTGGAAAAGGTGGAACTTCTAATAAACACAAGGATGATTGTTTAGTAAAGATGTAATCGAATGTAAAGATAGGCGTTGAAGATATATTGTGACGGGAAAGTAATTACCTATTTAATAAAGATACAACTTGCTAGTTCTGAAGTTCAGTGTATGAAGTTTAATATATTAATATTGAAATTTAATAATTATGAAGGGAAAGTAATTACCTGTTTAGTAATGATACAACTTGCTAGTTGTGGAGTGTAATATGATAGGGATAATTGTTTAGTGGAGTGTAAACATAGGGATGATTGTTTAGTAAAGATATAATCGAATGTAGAGACAAGTGCTATACGAAGATATATTTGAATGCTAAAATAATTACCAAATTCCAATTTAATACACATTTGAATGCAGAGACAGCTTTTCTGTAATAATATTATAAATAAATGCTAAATGAATAATAATTGATTATGAAGAGAATGTCCGATAATTCAACAATAATCGCCGTTGATTGAAAAAGGAGTGAAAATTTACATTAAATAATCACTTACTTCCGGATGCTTTATCAACAAAATTCGATCATTCGAAATGACTAGCAAATTACAAATTTTCCTGTGCATAATAAACGAGTATACTTGGACCTACAGATCAGAATGCAAACACTCCCAGCGAAGATAAACACTGCTGATGGTAAACACGTCTGGAAGTCAGTGGTTTTCGAACACCGTCGAAAAACATCTTTCCCTTCTCTGCTGGAACCGACATGTAAATAACAAACATGTAAATACTAAACGAGATAACGGACATAAAAACATTTTGTTTTCGTCAACAAACTACTTTTGCTACGTAATTTCTAACAGTAATATATACAATTTACTTAAAAAATGATGCAACAAATGAAGCTTTACATTGATAAACATTTCTTTTTATTTAAGTCACGTGCTTGTAAGAGATAATTTAAGTAATTTAAACTCATTTGAAAGACAGAGATAATTTGAAGATAATTAAGTTTATAGCCAAGAAATATTGTAAAAATGTTGATTATTCTTTAGTGAATATAAACATATTTTAGTTTTCTTCGTTATAATTTTACTAAATTACTTGAGCCACTTCACATAGATTTAAAATTTAAAAATAAACAATTTATGAAAAAATTTCGAAATTTGAAGGAATTTGAATATTTCAGTTGTCCATGTATGAATTAAGAATAATTTTTTCGAACGGAAAACTCGAAAGATGACTGAGTTTATACGGTGACCCAATAGGAAACGCCCCTTATTATTCTTATATTAAGGGGTGAAAGTTCGAATCGAAGTTGATCGTTTAGAGCGGTCCCTTCGACAGACAATACGTTCGGTCGAGTAGAATTGATTTTCGTTCGTCCGTCTTCGCCCCGCAGCCCAATTTATTAAGTCTGCCCTTTGTCGAGCAGGAAAGAAAGGAAACAGGGTTGAATGGCGTGCGCGGTTCGCTGAAAAGAAGCCAGCTCTTTCTTTGTATTGTTTTTAAAAAAAGCCACGCCGTAGTGGCGCAATGCGAACGCCGGAAACGGTGATGGAAAAGGAAACCGACGGAATATTGCAACCTATGTTTTTTGAAATTAACACCGAGGTTCTGAAACTATGGAATCGATAATTGTTCATGGAAAATTGCGTTCGACTGAAAATTTAATTATAAATTAATTGCAAGTTATTAAAAAATTAATTAAAGTTACTTTCATCGAAGGTGTTGAAGGACACATTATAAAATACCAGTATGAAATCATTTTCTAAGTTCATTTTTCCTTAATTATCGACTTTTTGATTTTTCCTATAATTAATTTTATAATCATTATTCCTAATTAAATTTTGGAAAGTAATTTTAAGTTAAAATTTTGAAAAATGGCTCCCAACACCTTCGGTAAAAATCGTGTTGATAATTAAAAAAGAATACGTATAATACGATGATTATTAAAAAATTAGTAATAGGAGACGTCGAACAGTTAATTGAAACAATGTGATTGGACGTAGAAGATAATTTTGAATTAAAATTTTGAACGGTGTCTGTTGACAGCTTCGTTGAAAATAATTTTAATGTAGAACACTAAATAGTTAAACAATTGAAAATCGAAGAATCTATGAGCAAACTATAAAATTGGTAGAGTTTTTTGTTTGAAAGAGAAGCGAAAAGAGTTTGGTTAGTTAAAAGGAATCTAGGCACTGTTAAAACCACTTGAACACGTGTTAACACGCCACTACTGACAGTTAGGTAATTTTAACCGTGGTCTTTCCCCTTTAACTGTCAACAGATGGAGCTTAATCTACGTTCTTTATTCCTCAAACCCAGTGTTTGGTTAGGGGAAAGCTTCGATCCGCCTTAACTCGCTCGATTCTGCTTCGGTCCATAATGGTCCGCTCCAGTTATTTGTGCTTTCGATGTTGTTCCCGTAATAGCTCCCAGTTCTCAATGATTGGGGCTTGATATACATTTTTCGCTCCTTTTTTCCTGCTTTTTTTTAGTGACTTTGAAAGCTGTGCATTCCAATATTTTTTACTGACGTCATTGCATCGTTATTAGACAAAGTATACGCCATTAGAGTTGTAGATATTTATACGAAATAAGATAAAATCATATTAAACAATTAAATTGCTGAATTTATGCCAAGTTTCAACATTTTCTCTTGTCCAAGAGGATAGTTATACGGAAAATTTAGATTATCGTGTTTTGTTTTGCTGTTAGTTATATTTATTAGTGATAGTTACTATTAGTTATTTATTAATATCTACTTTACAAGAGTAACATTATATGTTAATGTTAAGTTTTGACATTGAGTTATTTGGAAATGAGGTTTCATATAAACAGCTATCAATCTAGATTCCTAACTTATATTGTGATGCAGATTCGCGTCCGTTCATTTAGTACCAATAATTCAGAAACATCCTATATAATCGTGAGTTAGTCCGAATTCCAATATTCTCTCTCGCCGGGCCGCTGATAAGGGATGAAACTATAGAAATCCATTCACTTGTCTTCGGCTCGTTCATTTGGAACTAATATCTAAATGTTCACGATAGTAATCGAACGATGAAGGGAATAGTTCTGTGGCAAGATAGTTCTAACCTTTCAAAACAAGATAAACTGCAGGAATCTCATTTTTTCTTGAAAAAAGTTCAGCGTTTGGTAACTTAGATTAGCTTATCTGATGATTGGATCTTCATAGTTTAATTTAAAAATAATATAAGATAGAAAACTCTGTGGATGTTTATATAGAAGAAAAATTTTCAAAAAGATTTTTGACCAAATATATTCCGTAACCTTTTATGGAGAAAGAAACTTTTCAAACAATCTTTTGACCAAAAATAATCAATACCTGTTCACAGAAGACCAAAATTCTCCTAACCAAAGAATATTCACGACAATTGATAGGACAAAAAAATGTTTAAAAAAATGTCTGGTCTAAGGCAAGTAAGAATTCATAAAAAACAAAAGTTTTCAAAAGATCCTTCGACCCAAGATAATCGACGAGCTTCTACACAGACCACAAATTTTTAAAAGGACTTTTAGCCGAAGGCAATCTATAACAATCCATAGAAACCAAAAATTCCAAAAAGACCTTTGACCCAAAACATTAAAAAATCATCTCTACGAAGAACACAAATGTTTAAAAACCCTTCTGGCCAAAGGCAATTCATGACACTTCTCAAAAAGTCTCCTAACTTTAGATAATACACGACACTTTATAGGGGAAGAAAAATTGTCAAAAAGATTTCTGAAAAGATATACTCGCACAGAAATCGGATAACGCGCATGATATATTAGCCGGCAGGTCATCTCGCGGAATTATGTTGGCAGCGCAGTCGGTGTGCGGCAGAAGGGGCGAGAGAGG